TATACTAGACAAGATATAGATGAATTTGATATTCAACTTCAGGAACTTTCAGACAAGAAGTTAATTGAAGAAACTAAAAGCCCTCACTCTAGCCCAGCTTTTATGGTAAGAAACCATACTGAAATTAAAAGAGAAAAAGCCCGAATGGTAGTCAACTATAAACGGCTAAATGAAAATTTAGAATTTGATGGATATTTTATTCCAGGAAAAGATGTTTTGATTAACTTAACCAAAGGGTCAAAAATCTTTAGCAAATTTGATTGTAAAAGTGGATTCTGGCAAATTCAATTGACTGAAGAGTCAAAAAAATTAACAGCCTTCAGTACACCTAGAGGACATTACCACTGGAATGTTATGCCCTTTGGACTAAATATAGCACCACAGGTATTTCAACGGTGGATGGATACAATTTTTAAAGACCTTAAAAATTGTTGTGTAGTTTATATTGATGATATACTTATCTTCTCTAAAACCAAGGAGGAGCATAAGAAACATTTAAAACTACTTTGTGAAAAATTCCAAAAACATGGAATTATTTTGTCTCCAAAAAAGATTGAACTAGAAAAAGAATCAATTGAATTTTTGGGAATAATTTTAGACCAGAAAGGTTTAAAGTTACAAGAACATATTTTGTCCAAAGTACAAGATTTTCCTGATACTTTTGAAAATATAATACAATTACAGAGTTTATTAGGCATTTTAAATTATGGACGAAATTTTATCAAAAATCTTTCAAAAATAGAAATTTCTTGGTTAACCAAATTAAAAAAAAAAATGTTATTTTTGAATAGACAGCAGAAGATGTTGTTTTAATTAAACAAATTAAAGAAACTGTTAAAACTTTACCAGATGTTTATCTTCTTAAAACAAGTAATAAATTAATTTTAGAAACAGATGCCTCAGAAGCATGCTGGTAGGTCCACTGCGTTCCTAATTCCCCCACTTTGAGTCAGCCAAATAAATATGGCTTAAGAGTAAAAATATTGAATCCACATACATTTACAATTTAATTATTTTTTCATAGCAAATCAAATGACTGAATAATATTAGCACATTAATTTTATTCTAATGTGATTTGGGATATTTTTTATTTAGCTCTCAAGAAAAAAATTTATATTAGTTTAAGAATAATTAAAATATGCTTGTTAGTTTAAGAATACTATCTTTTTCTCTAATCAAATGCCCTCAATATAGTTTCATTATTCTACCATTTTTGATTGTCACTACCACTAACATTGCCATTTTCCATCACTGACGAAAACTTCTTGATGACCAGCATCAGTTGCTAATGACCATTTTCTAACAACTCTCTAGTAAAGTGAAATTTTACTGATTAGCATAGTGAAATTTTTCGACGATTGTTTTTAGAGACTCTCCGATGGAGTTAAATTTTACTATACTAAGTTACTAAATTTTCATTATTAAATAATAATAATAATAATAATAAAAAATTCAATTAATTGCTAAAAATTACAAAATTAAAAGTCAATTGAATATTTATGTGTTAGGATTTTTATTTATTTTTTTACCTTGATGAAATTTTACTTTTTAGATTGAGTTAGTGAAATTTCATTGAGTGGTTAAAATTGTAAAATTAAAAATCAATTGAATTTTTACTATCTTAGGAAGTTCGAAGACCAAAGTCACTATGTGAAGGTTTGTCCAACCAATGAGATTTTATGATTTGTTTATAATATTTCTTATTTTACAAACCATGCGAAGATATCTATTATTAACAATGAATCTTGAGAATTGCTGTATAATTACTCTCTTCTACTTTTTGATACAAGATATGATATTAACAATTAGTAGCTAGATAAACACCAGCTGATAAGCTGATATCTCTCCATATACTCACCCATAGGCACAAGAAGAAATTTAACAAGTTAATAATTAAATTACTATTGAAAATTAATATTTTTTATAAATTAAAATATGAAACCACTTTCCAAGCCAGATCTTTTTCCTTTTTTTTTATTTGCCAAGATTATGAGATGTTAGTTTGTTAGTAAAGTTATATTACAATAAAGGGTCACCGTTGTTTCATCAACTTGAATCCCTAACATTCCCTTCACTACACTTTGGCTCCGTTTGATTAGAAAGAAATAAATGATGGAAAGTAAAAATAGTAGAAAGTAAAAGAAAAGGAAAGGAAAGGAAAATATAGGTAGTGTTTGGTAGAATTTTACAATTATGATTTGAGAATAGAATTATATTTTAAGTTTGTAAGTTTTGAAATTATGATTTGAAAAGAAAAAATTTGTTTGGTTATGTGTTTTGAATAGAGTTTTGAATTTTTGATATGACATATGAAATGAGAAAAGTTGTTTGGTTATAAATTTTAAAAAGAGTTTTCAAAACTTAATTGAAAAGCTTATAACTCATAACCAAACACACAATTCAAAACTCTATGAAAAATTCTATTCAAAACTCACAACCAAACTTTTTTTAAAATTCAATTCAAAAAAATAATGTGTCATTTTTGGTCTAAAAAAATATTTTTTATATTTAAAAAATATCAATAACAAATATAAATTTTTTTTTTCCTTCCAAATAACAAATGACGATTGACAATTGAAAATAAAAATTTTAAAAAGTACTGTTCCGATCAACCGGTCAGACATTCGGATAGACCAAAAATTCCAAAACTGTCTTGTTTACCAAACATGTTTTCAAAAAGTGTTTTGAAATTTCTTTGGAATCATGACTTGAAAACTCAAATCAAACATAATATGGGTAGAATTAATTTTAAAAAGTTAAACCAAACACAAATATATTTTCTCGTATCAATTTAATTAGAATGAAAATTTTATAAAAAAATAGAAATTCTAATTATAAGTGACTATTTTTATAATAATAATTTATTTTTATTTTGTTTTTGGTATTTTCCTGTGTTTTTTTGTAAGAAACTGAAAGCTGCAATTAGGAGTTATACAAGAAAATTTACTTTTTCGTAATTACAACCACTTTCATGTTAAACAAACTTTTAATTTTTTTTTCCGTTTCTTTCACTTTTTACCATTTTTATCCTAATCAAATTGAGCGTAATGTATAATTAGGATTGTGCAAAAATATTGTCTAATCTGCTAAAATCGCATCGATCAACTCCGCATCAATTTGTACCGCTCTACCCACCAACCGTGGATTAAACTTCAAAATTTATAATCCACTTTAAAAACCGCTCTAATATATATATTTCCTAACCTCTAATGAAATATCAAAGTAAAAATGAGTATGAGAGAAATTTAAGATATGAAATTTATTACAAATTAATAGTTATATATATGAAACATATTAAACAAATTAGTATTATATATTATGCAAATGTTCGTGTAAAAGGTAGAATTCTTTTCCACAGGAAAAGCGAGATGACGTGTTCCTTTCTATACTTTGCAAAGAGTAACCAAATCGTCAGTGATCATCTTTGACCATGGTTGATCGGGAGGACCCTCCGACGGTCAAGTCAAAATACTGTTCAGCCATGAGAGAGTTTTATTTTGAGAGAGGGTTTTTAGATTACCTTTGATTTGTCCTCTTAGCTTCGGCCGTTTTGCTTTTTATAACATTCTTGACTTAAATCTCATCCGCTGGATCGATATTTGATCAAAAAGTTATGCCTGCTTTTGGGTCTAGCCAGGCAAGTGGTCATGTTGCTTTTATCTTTAATCATTGGATCATTCTTTCTTAGATGGTTTAGATTGCATCAGATGCTTGTGGCAACTTAATACTTGTGTCGTTTAGTAGACTTGACCTTTGCATTTATTGTTTGATGTCTCGATTGTTAGATGAAGATGAATCCAACGACCCTCTAGCATTCTGCTAATCTCATTCTAGAAGAAGATCTCACTACTAATATGCTCAATCACGTGTCATTATTCCGCCAATTGTCTCTAATGGGTCACTTAGTAATTTGACAGGACTTTTTCCTTTGGGTTACTTTGCCTAATTGCTTTTGGACTTAGGCCAACGCTTTATCCCTCTACAATGTGATAATTAGTTAAAATATTTTTTAATTCATCAATTTATTAAAAATTATAATTTAGAATTTTATTCCCAAATTATCCGAATCACATTGCCAAGTCACGTATGTATAACTAGGGGTGTGCATAATACCGCCAAAACCGCCGAAACCGCCAAAACCGCACCGAACCGCACCGCCAAGGCAAATTCATTATTATTTGTCAATCGAACCGCCGGTTTTTGGTAAGAAAAATGGCAAATTCTAGTGACACTTTTATCAATCCGCCGGTTTCTATTTTTCTTCCAAACCGCACCGACCCGCACCGCTATTAAATCATGTTTTATAGGATTCTAAAAATTCTTTTTTACTTAAGTTTGCTTGTTGTTCTATACCTTAGAATATAGTATTACATTAATGCTCGAGGGGAATTTTATGTATTGTATTTGATCATTGCAGCTTCCACAGATACTTGTAATGAACTGATAGCATAGTCGTTGATATTATCATGTTGTTGCTACACTTGCTGCATCAGAAGAAAACTTCGCAAGATGCTTAACATCACGATGTCTCTCGTCTTTTTTTTACTCTTTGATTTAAGTTTTGTAATTTGAATTATATTTTTTATAAACCGCCAATCCGCCCGAACCGCCAAGGCAAATCCGCCATTATTTGCCAACCGAACCGCCGGTTTTTGATAAGAAAAATGGCAAATTCTAGTGACACTTTTATCAATCCGCCACCCGCCATACGGTTTCTATTTTTCTCTCAAACCGCACCGACCCGCACCGCGCACACCCCTATGTATAACTACAAAACCACCGGTCAAACCCAAAGCCAGATCTTACCCCCCAGGATTTGGGGGTTTAAAGTCTATTTCCAAATTTATTGGATTCATAAGAAAGTAGTTGCTGTTCGCCTTATGTGGTCCACCAGACATGACCCGACCCGAGGACGTAAAATCGTTTTCTGCAGGCTCTGCTTTGGGCCTTGTATTTTAGCAGTGGAAACGTGGACGTATTGCCAGCAAGCGAAACTCACAAACTGTTGAGTCAGACGCGCCGAATATATTCAGAAGAAGAAGAAGAAAGAAAAATGGGAATGGAATTGCGTAGCCTCAAAGCCTCCTGCACCTCCTATAAGAACACCACCCCAAAAAAAAAAACCAGGATGCAGTCTTATTATTATGAGAAATTTGTGTAGGTGGGTTTGAATTTAACATCTCTTCTGAAAGGTGCGAATATCAGTTTATAATATATACAGACTGAAATGTTGGGTTTGGAAAACAAAACAAAAAAATGAAAGGAGGGGTGGTTGAAGGAACAGGAAGGGTGTGTGAGGAGTTCTCAGCTGGGTATTATGGGCTTTGCACTGTCGGGGGTATGTTCAGTGCTGGTACTTCCCATCTCGCCACCACTCCCTTTGATGTTCTCAAAGTCAATATGCAGGTAACTTGTTTGCTGTTCCATTCACCATCATTTTTTCTTTCCTTGAAATTTCCTCAACAGTTAATTGATTTTTGTATGTTTCTGTTCATTGGGTAGTCAATGTCATACAGTAATGCTGTTTTGCTTGGTATTATGTAATATAATTGGGTGAAATTGAAATGTTCTTATGAGATTTCTCGGATTGGTTTTTTGCCCGTTTGTTCCGGTGACTTTATGTCACACTATGTTAGTTTGTTAGTTAATTAGAGCATCTCCAAAGTTGTATTTTTTTCCATCAAATTTGAGTAAAAACTCTATTTGATATCGCGCGTTCTAAGACTATCCCCAATGGTTTACCAAATGTTTCATCAAATTTAAATTTGATAAACTTAAATTTTGCTGCTCCAAAATCCATGATTTCTCAAATCTTTCATCAGATTGAGGATGGATGTGTCTTTCATCGAATCACTGTTCATAACCGTTGTATTTTCACCATCGGATGTCCCCTGGATGTCTCCCAAATGATCTCCTCAAGGCAAAAATTTGTGAAAAATTTATACTGGCCGGTCGACCGACTGGACATCCGCCCGGTCGACCCCTGAATGACCACCTCAAGGCAAAAATTTGCGAAAAAGTTATACTGGCCGATCAACCAGCCTGACATCCAGCAGGTCATCCATCCGATCGACCAGTGTTTTGATAAAACTTCAAAAACCTCCATTGGAGCACTTGATATCAAATGGACCTTTTACTCAAATTTGATAAAAATTTTGATGCATCGTTAGAGATGCTCTAACGGATTGTCATCAAATCACCAGTCGACCGAGAGCAGAAGAGGAGGGAAAAAAGAGCCAGGGGGGTCACGTGTCCCCCCTCAGTTTTGATTTATTTATTTTATTTTATTTATTTATTTATTTATTTTTTGTGTTGTTGTCCTATTCAAAATGTTTTTTTTTTTTTTTCTTCTTAACATGTTTTTTTGACTAAGGGTTTATTATATTGTTCGTAACAAGTAGTTATTTGATACTTTGAGAGCACTATGTGGTATTTTTTATGTAATAGTTTAAACTAATAGTATAGCGAAAAATCTTATGGATTGGATATAATGAACTCATTATTTTCAGGCAGTTGACAGACTACTTAGTGTGATTTGTGATTTTTCATGCTTTGAGCATCACGTAGGCAATGCTATATGGTATTCTAAGGCGGTTTAATAATTTTCATTCAAAACACATCATTTATAAGTAATGTCATCTCTTTAATATTTTTCTGTCAAATAAAAATTAAATAGATTTTATAATAATTTGTGCTATAAATGATGTATTTTTATTTTCTAAAATTAGGAATTTTGATCCATAATTTTTTGTGCTAAAATTACAAACTTACATCACCATCCCGCACCAAGCTATTCTATGCTATTATAGAATTTTAATTTATTCCTATTAATAATGAATATGTAATTTTTTATATTTAAATTTAGCTCATAAAATTATAATTATCTTAATGTTGATCATATTTTTTTTAAATAAAAAATTATAATTAATAATACCCCCTCTAACTTAATTTCCTTGCTCCGCCAGTGACCGAGAGGACAACTGGACAAATGTCTGGCCGGTCGACTGGCCAGTGTAATTTTCACTAAAATTTGAAATATGTTGTGGACAATTTTTCACAAAACTAGTTGTCCAGTGGTGTTGTACTACTTGCAACTCCAATGTCTCTAAACAGTAAATTGGTGAAAACCACATCCATCCTCAATTTGATGAAAACTGCAACATATCCTAGATTTGATATTGGTTTGATGAAACCATTGGAGCAACAAAAAGATCCTTTTTTCATCAAATTTAAATTTGATGAAAGAAAAGGTACTGGTTTGGAGATGGTCTTACTTGGAACTTTCTGAAACTTGGTTGTTTACCATTTTATCATATTGCCACACATATTTGATATGATATATATTTTTCCCTTCTCGGTTGTGTGTCCTCATTCATTTTTAGTCCCTGTTCTAGAGAGAGGAAAGAAAAGAGAGTCAACAAACAATAACCCATTGAAAGGCCTAAAAACCTTGAGCAATACTAATTGTATTGCGGTGCAGTGCATTGGTTGCATATATGTTTGCATGTATATATATATAAATGTGAGCATAGGATGCATACGAATTTGAATTACTAGTTTTGTACAAAGTCAGCATTCAAAACTAAACGAGGAACCCATGAAATGTTTAATTACAAGGCTACATGACGTTTTCTTTTTATTTACTTTTCAGTTGAGGATTTAGTTTAATTTTTATTTTTTAATTTTTATAAGCAGATCTGGTGCTTTTCCCTGACTAATCTCTCAGTTGCATATAGTCACCCATCCCACACATACTAGGTAATTACCGAGCGCAGAACCAGGGGCAGAGTGGCCCCAAGGAAATAAAACACATAATGAGATTTGAACTTGTGAATTACACTTTTTGAGGCACTTATCACAGCTTAATTTATCACTCAGGTATCTCTTAGGGTTTAAGAGATTATTCTTTAGTCCTTATTCATTTTTAGTGCATGTTCTAGTTATTAGTGTGTCAAGTTTGTTGGAAGATGAATGAGAAAAATTTGAAGGGTACTTATATGATTTTAAAGGGAAAATTTTGAAAACATTTTCAAAACCTTAGATTAAAATATATATTCCTAAAAATTGAGGGGGGGCACATGCCCTTCCCGGTCCATTGGTATCTCTACCACTGGGTAGGGTAAGGTGACCCTAACTTGAGTCATTTTATTGGGAGAATGTGGCCTACACTGCTGGCCTGTCCTCTGGAGGACACTTCCATTAGAAGCGACTTGTTCCCCAGACTTCTTTTTAATCTTTGAGGTTGTTATTTGCTTGCCATTTGGTGAGGTGATTGTTGAAATTATACTTTTCCGTGTTTCATCATTTCATTCATTGTCCAACTAGTGGATTAAGTCTTTTCAAGTTTAGTTTTTCTCTTCACATATTTTTCAATGGGCATGCCTGTAAAACAATGGCAATCATTAAGAGTTTCCTCTTAGGGTGTTTATCACTCACAATAACTATTGATCAAGGAGAGAGAGAGAGAATTCATTGAAGTTATCAAATGGGATTGAGCACATCAATTTATATTCTTCAGTAAAAGAATATCGAATGATTGATTCACCATTGAGAGCATTAACCCCCAAAGGACGAATATTGTGGTGTTCTAATAGCGGCAGATCAAACAAGAACTTGATGAGCGAAATCTGCTGGTTCCTCCCTTTATTGAAATTGAAGTCTTGAAGTCAGATCAAGTGATAGAAGAAGCCTGTCCTGGCCTCTTTGCAAGAACTCCTTTTGGAGAAGATTAGTAAATTACTTGAATTTTGGAGATATTTCTGACAGGATAAAGAAGATTAGTAAATTACTGAATGTTCCAATGGTTGATGGTTTTAGGTGCAACTATTCCAAGAGAAAAGGACAGTGAAAATGTTCTGACCATTCCAACAGTGATAACTTATTCCAACAACCACAACTCTTATGGGAATGAACATGACCCAACAAACTGTTGTGACTAATGGTGTTTTGAATTTCAAAACAAACTCTTCCACACAATCTTCATTGTGTGGGAATGTCTCTCACCATCCCAAGGTGAGATACAGTACAAGAGGTTCCACTATTAATATGGTATGATCCCCACTTTGTCCATCAATATTTGGTAATAAGATTACTTCTTTCTGCATTGAAAAATTGGAAGAGAAAGATTTGTTCCCTTCGAATTTGATATGCCGTTTTCTTGTTAATCTAATATGTATTTATCATATTTATTACTTTTGCGATTTAACTGTTCCAATTTTGCATTCTTATATTTTGGGCTGGTTACCTCAGCCCCATGCCATGTTGTTCCGTGGAGCACCCGAGTTTCTCTTCAATTGGATCTTTCTAGTAGTCTGTTTATCTGACTGTATGTTTGCTTCAGGTGAACCCAGTGAAGTACCACGGCATCTCATCAGGTTTGAGTACTCTGTGGAAGGAACAAGGCCCTTCTGGCCTTTGGAGAGGTTGGTCTGGCAAATTCTGTGGATATGGTGTTCAAGGCGGATGCAAATTTGGTCTCTATGAATACTTTAAGAAGCTATACTCCAATGTGTTGGTAGATCATAACAAGAGTGTCATATTCTTTGCCAGCAGTGCATCTGCTCAAGTATTTGCTGATGTGGCTCTCTGTCCATTTGAAGCAGTCAAAGTCCGTGTTCAAACACAGCCCAATTTTGCGAAGGGCTTGCTTGATGGGTTTCCAAAATTATATGCATCTGAAGGGCTTTCTGGGTATATTACCAAATAACATGATTTTCTTTTCTTCTCTTCCTTTATTTATTATGCTCACCTTCCATTGTACTAAAGCCGGAATGCATTTATACTTTATTGCAGCTTTTATAGGGGACTTATTCCACTTTGGGGTCGTAATATCCCATGTAATATCTCTACCTAACTGCATTTAATTTTTGAAGTTCTCATTACATGTTTTAAGACTTTCCTAGCTCATATATTTTTCTGTTTGGTTGATGCACGGGATAATATGGTAATCTACTTTGCTATGACATGCATGGTTGCAAAGCTAGAATTATATCGGGAGAAACAGTCAGTTTGGAGTTGAATGTTATTTGATAGACAATACTAATCCTCTAAACTTGTGCAGGCCTGTTAATCGTGTGCATAACATACTGATTGGGAAGCATGCTGACATTCAAGCTTGCTATGTAGTCATGTAGTTAGTTACGATGATTTGCTCATATTTGTCATGATCCATAACCCCATGGTTTCTGTGTCCTTTTCTTCCCTGTGGTTCTTTGTTAATTTCTGCCAGGAAATCATTGAATTTAATTTATAATTGTGAGAAAATGACTGATTAAGTTCCATCTTGGAAACTCTCTTCTTCTTCTTCTTCTTCTTTTTTTTTCTTCTTCTTCTGGCCTTAACCCATACAGTAAAACATCTTTCTAATGTCATTTATTTTCACATAGAACCATGTGATAATGGTGTGATGCTGAAAATATCTTACTGGTTGGCCACTTAGCATTTTGGGTCAATGTTAGTGCTGAAAACATGGAATTTGTGATAATCTTTCATTTATAAACCAACCCCTGAAAATTCAAGGCACATTATGTTTTGTCATTTAATGGGGTTAGCAATCAGTGTGTTTGGCTCCTAATATTGTGTTTATATTTCAGTAGTAATAATTGATCATTAAGCGAAAACATATATGTTTTTACCTACATAGTCTTCTAAACCCATTTTCCTTGTTTATTTATTTATTTTTAAACATTTCTTTGACAGTCTCTATGATAATGTTTTCAACATTTGAGCACTCAGTGGGCTTCATATATCGCAATGTTACCCAAAGAAGAAAGGAAGATTGCTCGAGAGCCCAGCAACTTGGTGTGACATGTTTAGCAGGCTATGCAGCTGGGGCTGTTGGTACCATTATCTCTAACCCTGCTGATAATGTTGTTTCCTCTCTTTACAACAAAAAGGCCGACACTGTGCTTCAGGTACTGCCTTTGTTGAAGCTCTTCTTTGGTTCAATTCAGGTCATCTAAATTTCATAGTGTTTGTTGCATTAGTTTGATTTTTGTCTTTCAGGCTGTGAAGAACATTGGGTTTGTCAATTTGTTTACTAGAAGTCTTCCTATTCGAATCACACTTGTGGGGCCTGTTGTAACTATGCAATGGTTTTTCTATGACACCATTAAAGTTCTAAGTGGATTGTAAGTGCTCCTCTCTTAACTACTCAGAATTTTGGGGGACTACATTGGCTTCCACCATCAAAATAATGAAGCCAAAGCCCCTATAGACTTAAAGACTTGACTTCGCTGAACCAGCAATACTATTTGTTGGCTCCTACCACTCGTCCCAATCCTTTAGAAAGTTGCATATGCACACACAGTGAAAATAACACTTCATTTTGTAATTCATTGATCATCCTTGTAGTGTTAGCTTTGACCTTCAAATGCTAATATCTTTGCTGGCCCCATGCCATGTTGTTCCGTGGAGCACCCGAGTTTTTGTGGGAATATATATATAGTGGTAGAGCCTGCATGTGTGTTCCCATTGCATTAATATAAGTGCCATATGACTGTTTAGATGTGGTATCTAAAATGAAAATACACGTTCACAAACTTGCATTGTTTTTGTTTAAAGTTGTTTCAAAATAATCATGTAAACCATCAAACAAGTTTTTCTGGGCAAGTGATCAAAACAGTGTTGTTTGGTTTGCTATGGTGAGAGATCATACATTTGTTTATATGAAAGTTGATGGCTGAAGTCCTTTAAAAAAACATTGGATCCATTAGGAAATGAAAATGGAGTAACTGAATATGGCTTAGGTTGTGACGTGATCACAGAAAATGTCAGTGAAGATATTTTTTACTATCCTGTAGAGGATAATTGGTGGGATATGATTTAGTGTTATTTCTACCTCTGAAAGTAACACTGATAAAGTTAACCCTGTTGTTCTGAATGAAGTGGAATTTCTTCTTTCTAAGGGATGCCCCCTAAATTTGTAGTTCAGTATATTTTCTATAGTTCCTTTTTTATTTTTCTTTCTCCTAAATTGATTTATGTTTGAAAATATTCAGGCCTACCAGTGGAGGGTATAGCATGGATCTGGAAAAAGCTATCTGATCAAAGTACTGGAATGAAATACAATAATTCAATCATTTGCGAGCATGGGAAATCCATCATCCCTGCATCAAATAATGGCAAGTGATTGTATATTTTGGTAACACAAAGGGAAATTGATGGCTTATCTACTTAGTAACATCTATCTCCCTTTATTTTTTGTTCTGCAGTTCATATCTTGTTACAAGATCTACCTCCCTTTATTTTTGCTCCTTTGTAAAGTCTAGTTTAGCTGTTGTCTGCGTGAATTTGCAGTCCAGCTACATAGATATACTGCAAATTGATTTTAGTGACTATATATGCAGTGATTTTGTGTAAGAGAAACTATAAACAACACATTTTTCATGGAAATATGTTAGTATTCTCTAGTTATTGATTAGCACTGTCAAAAACTTTTATTGTACATGTTTTCTCTGATATGAGTGGTAGGATTTAACTAATGTACCATGATCGCTATCATAGAATACTTGTTTGGCTAAGGAATGAGAACTGCTAATGTTCAACAATCCATATATTGGTTCGTAAATATGCAGTGTGCTATTTTTCCAAGAGCAAGGTAACTGGAATGAATTTGTACGACACTTGTAACAGAGGAATGGCCTTGATCACAAGTTTTTATATATATATTAACAACCGAATCCAATATTTTTAGTGAGAGGAGAGATCTTACACCCCATCTAAATGAGCATGATTTGTGTTTGTTATGTGGGCTCAGGTCTTTGGTCGTTTGGCTTGTTAGATGAGTTAATAATTATTACGTAAGGGTTGTTTGGTTGTGAGGCTAGGTGATGAGTTTGGTTTGTGATGCAACCGCAAAATAGGTATTTTAAATAATCAAATTGCTGACATTAGCATTTTTTTTTTGTAATTCTGTTAATGGAGGGGTAGATTTCTGAATTTTGTTCTTCTGTTTGATCTCTTTTTTGGAAGCTTTTTCATTCCGATAAAATGATATAAAAAAATTCACTGGTAAAGTTGGAGAGATTCTAATCATCTGCCGGAATTGAAAAATTACTCTTTCATAATATTATATTATGAGTAAACTACTAATAGGTTCTAATAGTTAGATTTAATTTCCATTAAATCTTATTGAAAATAAATTTTAGTAAAATAATCTCTAAAAATACATTTTTGTAACTATTTTTTGCATATATTGTTAAAAATTGACAATTAGTGATTTTTTTTTTGTCATGATTTTTATAAATTATCGATAAAATTTACAATTAATAACATTTTTTCATGATGAATTTTTCACACTGTTACTGAAAGTTAAAAATTAGTGACATTTTTTTAAACTATTGCTAAAATTTATAATTAACGACATTTTTTGTAACAAAATCTTTAAATTGTCGCTGAATATTAATAACTAGTGACGTTTTTTAATAATATTTGATAAAAAAACGTCATTAATTATTAAAAGACCTATTAGACAATAAATAAACTTATTAGGACTTATACGTAAATTCCTTTTCATATTTTTCAGAGAAATGCTAATGATCTTAAATGCTTTACTAATATTTCTACATAAATGTAAGGCCTAAATAAATTTTATATCCATATAAAATATTTAATAAAACATAGGAATCCTAACATTATTTTATTTTTCATTCAAACCTTTCATTATTTGATACACCATTGGTTGACATTAAATTTTTTCAACTTCACGGCAAATTTAGTAAAGTTCAGATCCGATGAAACACATCGTTCACTCTCGAAAGACTAGTCTAAGCTTTAGAGAGGTAGGTGCATGACTAACTTTTTTTTCTTTTTTTCTTTTTTTTTGGTATATATTTTTTTAACATGATCCACATCCACATGGACCCTTTTCCATTCTGGTCAGCCAGTCAACAATCACGACACCACCACCATCACCATTTTCTTTTCTTTTTGTTATTTTCATTTTTTGGTTTTTGGAGTTGACGTGGTCAACTTTAGGTAATACATTTCAACTCTGAAAAATGCTTGGGAGCACTAATTAGTGCTCCCACTAATTAGGTGATAGTGGGTCTCGTCATTAATGATGTGATGTTTTGGTCTTGGAGTTGTATTTTTTTTATTTTTTTTTACTTTTTTAATACATTAATACTATTAGTGGTGATATTTTTAGTGGGGTGAATCATTGTTGTTTCAACTCTCAACCAGTGCCCAATGGCTGCTAATATCTTCTTCTAAGTCTTTAAGTCTTGGCTGCCAAAGGTTTGACAAAATCTCTTCCTTTCTTTTTAAGAATAAAAAAAAATTCTCACATGTAGCCTAAAAATAAACCTATTCCTTAAATCCTTATTTTTTAACTATTAAGCTATATTTAAAATTTAAATTTGGAAAAAAAATTGCAAAAAAAATATGAAGAAAATATTATATTTCATTCACATTTTTCTAATATAATTTTTTTGCCTAAATTCAAAATCTAAAAATATTAGTAGTAATATATATAGACAGTCTAATAGACTCTCAATCATCTTTCTCAAATAAGCCATTCCCCTGTCTTTCTTAATTAAAATCCAGAGCACATTATTGTAGGTCTTGTGGTGAGTGTTTTACATCATGCAATGCAAGTTCAGTTGAGGAAGAAGGGTATGGGTGTTTCCAAAAAAATAAAAAACAAAGCTTGAAATGAGCTGAATGCAATGTGTTTCATGATGCGTGTGTGAGCACGAGAAGATATTTAGTGTTTTTGAACAAAATATATTTCTTCTTCATATTTTATCCAAAGTAAAATGTCGTATTACTTTATAATTAAAGTAAAATGTATGAATAGTGTCAAATAATACTCCAAGAACAATCAATAATTTTCTTAGGACATGAAATTTTGTTTATAGAAAATCCACTAAAGATCTTCATACATCATTTTTGTTCATAGCATATTTCGAAAATTCCATTTTTGTTGTTAAAAGTATAACTTTACTTTCAAAAAGTCTTAGATTCTTAAATTTTTTTTTCTTTCTTTGGACAATGAAGGAACTTGGAATTGTCAACAACATTGACATTGAAAGGGTTGGTAAAAAAAGAAAAAATAAAAGAAATGGAATGTGGATTACAACTAATACGCATTTGAAGACTTAAAAATTGTAGCTCAACATGGAATTTCAATAAGCTTTTAAATTCGGCCCAAACTTGGGAGTAGACCAAAGTAGCTCTAAAATTCATAGTCACAAATTTGGTTTTTCAAAACAAAGTGTCATTCATTTTTCATCCCATTTTAAAAAGTGAAACAAATCATTAGAATCCCACTCACAATTACGAGTGTAATTGATTCAATCTGATTATATTTTTTGAAAAAATTTAGCACGAATCAATTTTTTCAATTTGGTTAAATGATCGCTTGTTACTTTTCAATTTTGTGTAAATTACTAAATCAAATAAAGTTTTAAGAGTTTTATAAAATTCTATAAAATCTCACGTGAACAAATACATTTATCACTTATCTTCTATTAATGTTTAAAAAAAAAAAAAAAGAGAATATAAACAGTATTTAAATATAATATACTTTCGTCAATCATGGCAGTGAGTATGGTTTTATTGATTTTTCTTATCGCCTTACTGATAATTCACAAAACAATTGATGGCAGATGATTGGCCCATGACATTAACAACAAAGAAAAATAATATTATATTTTATAATTTTATTAAAAAATAATAATCATTTTAAATGTATCAATTTGTAAAATCAAATATTAATATCCCAATTTACTCTTCCGACGCATACTCTCTTTATATACAACCGAAAAACAATAATGTCGGTGAAATATGATAATTGCTAATGTCGTCACACATGAATTAATATTAAGAATGAGAAGAAAAAAAAATGTACATAAAAAAATTATGAACTTTTTTAAATTTAATGAAAAAATGTCTTTTTTTTTTTCTTTTTTCTTTTGTCGTCTTTTTCTTTTTCTTGTACACTGTTGTTACCAAGATATGTGAAATATTTTTTTGAAATCAAAGGTCAAAGTATGTAGAAAAATGGTAGACTACCATCGAATTGGGCGGGAGTTTGGGTCAAATCGGCATTATATAGTAAGAGTGATAGGTTTTTGTAATTGAGAATCTTATTGGACAAAAACTATTTTCAGTTGTATTTTTATTCATTCTATTATATCTGTAAGTTATGAGAGTTTAAATTTGAATCCAGCTTGAGTTGTGTCTGTATAAAGAAGTTTGTGCTGACATTTCGTATCTTGACTCGAGCATTCTTTATTTGCCACTTCACTAATTAAGCACGGGGATCAAACTACCTGGTTTGGGGCAGCGCCCCGAAGCCAAAAAGAAGTCAATGTAGTTTGACTACTCAAACGGTCTTTCGTGTGCTCAAGTGGTGAAATTGTTCATCAAATATCTTTGTCTGCATTATGAACTTTTGGGAAACATGTTTTCTCGCTTGAAGGGTAGATGTTGCGCTCGAATGGTTGGTTTGAGCATCGCCTTTAGTCACACTACTCGAGGGGTAAAGTGAGCACTCAAGAGATTTTCACGACTCTGTTTAGTATAAAATGCGTTGTTTGCTGTTTTTAGGGTGGAACCCATCTAGATTCTCAAATAGGAGTAAAATACTAATTGTGCTATATTGGAGGGCGTTTATATGTGAGTTTTTCTTGATGTATAGAAAGTAATCGCTAGATCAACGAATTACATATGGACAAACATCAAGGATTGTTTTGTTTTTTCAATCACAAAAAGAGTGAGGTATTCATCGGTAGATTCCGAGAAACTTGGACCTAAAAGTTTGATAGGTTCCAGAGTGGCTCATCGTCGTGGATTCGACATCGGCATTGTGGATTCAATGCTAGACAAAATAATTCTGAAGTGAAGACGGTAGTGGAAGTAGAGATGTGCGCGGTATGGCACAGGTGGTTTGAGAGTAAAATTACAAACTAAATGGCGGGTTGTCGAATTAGCACATTGACAAAATGCGTTTTTGGCGGATTAGCGGATTGAAGAATATTCTAACTAATTATCATACATAGAATAATGCTTGGGACCCTCTTTTGGGGGTCACTCCCTCCCCCCCCCCCCTTTGCCACGTGGCGGGTGGTGATTGGAGGAGCAGGAAAAAAAAGAAAAAGCAAAAGAAAATGAAACCAATGAGAGAGAGAGAGGGGGTCAAAGGGGGTGGGAGGAAAAGGGGGGATGAATCATTGTTGTTGCATAATATATAACACTAATTTGTATAATATTTTTTAGATATATAACATAAAGTAATTTTATATAATATGTTTCATATATATAACTATTAACTACTAATTTGTAATAAATTTCATATCTTAAATATCTCTCACACTCATTTTTACATTGATATTTCATTGGAGGTTAAAAAATATATATGCATTAACTATTGTGGAGCGGTTTGGTTGGCGAATTATAAATTTTAAAGTTTAAACCACGATTAGCAGTTAAAGCGGTGCGGCTTGATGTGAATTGGTGCGGTTTTAGCGGATTGGACGTTATTTTGCACAACCCTAAGTGGAAGAGACACATTGGATTTAATTCAATTCGGGCATGAATTCGCTAGGTAATTGAGAGTTCTTATTTCATTGGAGGTTAAAAAAATATATATGCATTAACTATTGTGGAGCGGTTTGGTTGGTGAATTATAAATTTTAAAGTTTAAACCACGATTAGCAGTTAAAGCGGTGCGGCTTGATGTGAATTGGTGCGGTTTTAGCGGATTGGACGTTATTTTGCACAACCCTAAGTGGAAGAGACACATTGGATTTAATTCAATTCGGGCATGAATTCGCTAGGTAATTGAGAGTTCTCGTGTATAATTCTTTTTGTCTTCTTAGTAGATTATTTTGTGACTTTGACGCATAACTTTTATTGCAATTGAAGGAGTCCAATTGTGATTTTTTTTCCCACGTTAAATCGATTTGTTATTGATTGGGATTGTTATTCATTATTTAAAATTGAAGAAATCCAATTGAAGGAGTCCAATTAAGACTATAATATAAAACAAAATTGATTAAAAAATAATGGGTAAATTACATTTATCTCCCCTGAGATTTCTGACAAATACAGGGACCTCCCCTGTGATTTCAATAATTACAGTGACCTCCCCTTATTTTACTTGACAATGTCAAGATTCTCCCATTCCGTCTATTTTGCACAAACGACGTTAATAGCCTATACAAAATGATCATATTACCCTTTCTTTTGCCTGTGAAAAAACAAAAATGCCCTTTGTTCACAAAATCCCTAATCAGCTACATTCATACACATTGAATTCTTGAGAGAAAGAAGAAAGAGAGACGACAGTAAGCAACGCGAAGAAGGTTGATCTGTGTAAAGAAGACGAAGAAGCCAGCGAGAGAGAACGGCAAAGAGACAGAGTTGTTTTCTTTGTTTCACTGTATATCAATATATACACAATCTTCTCCTTTCATTTCTATGTAGATTTTCTTTTTCATTTCCTTTTCAATTTTTCCTCTCCTAATTTTATTGGAAAATCTACAATTTTTCCTAATCTTCACACTGCTTTATTTTCAGTTTCAGAATCCACTATCCCCCAAAAACCTTACATAATACCCTTTTATATTATAATTATATATATATATCTCTGTTCTTATTGGAATCACAAAATTCACAAACATTTTAAATGTAAACCTTAACAATTAAGGGTACATCCAACTCGCGGGCGATGGATCAGACCTTGTTCTAATCATTAACCAAGTAGAAAAAAACAATGTAGTCGGCCAATTGAGCATCAAGAGAAGCCCTTTATTTCAACAACCTTCAGCAAGGGTACAACTCTACCTTCTTTAACCATTATCTTTTTGTTACGATCGTTGTCGCGAGTGAAGGAGGCCAAGTTGTTGGTGGCGTCAAGATGGTCACGGATGAGGCATCCCATTTAGACGGAGGCGATGGAGGACCAGAGCATGGCCAGGATGGGTCATTACTGGCGATGGAGAGAAGCTAGCTGATGTCAGCGATAAACGATTCCAGGAGGCTGGAGACCTTGTGGACGTCGGCACTGGTGGTGATGGAAAACACCTGCTGGAGAATGCCATTCCGCTTGCACTTGCGGAATAAGGTTAGGGCTCATTCCAAGGTTTTGGAGATATTGGCGGCTATGCAACGGATGGGGCGCTTGTAGAGAAATAACTGGGCCATGGTCGTGGTCGTGGTCATAAGACAAATGGCGGATCAGAGCTTGAGAGAGAGGAGGTTGGCTTGCTTAGCGAGATCGACACAGTCGGGCTTGAAGGATTCGGCTTCTTTGGCATATTTGATGAGGAGTGAAAGCTCTTATTAGATTGGTTTCTCTTCTAAAGGCGTTTTCTTCTTTTTGTAGGCAAAAGCAAAGGGTAATATAGTCATTTTGTATATGCTACTAACATCGTTTGTGCAAAATAGTCAGAATGGGAGAATCTTGACATTGTCAGGTAAAGTATGAGAGGTTACTGTAATTATTGAAATCATAGGGAGATTCCCTGTATTTGTCAGAAATCTCAGGGGAGATAAGTGTAATTTACCCTATTTATTATTATGGATATTGTTCTAGCATTTTCAATCCCTAACTCTTTTCTTTTTTTTATTAAATTTAAATTTAATAAAAAAATATTAAAAATAATTTCTATTTATTTTATAAAATATTTATCAAATTAATGGAGAATTTTTTTTTTATCAAATTAAAAATTTATCAAATTGTTCGTCAAATTTAAATTTGATGAAATTTTAAATAAAAAAATGTCGAAGATTTTCTATCCATCAAATTTAATAAAAAGGAAAATTTGGGAGAAGAGAAGCTTTTTTTTTTTTTTTAGCTTAAGCACGTAGTTGCCATTTGAGGGCCAGATTGGTTTCTCTTCTAAAGGCGTTTTCTCATTTTTGTAGGCAAAAGCAAAGGGTAATATAGTCATTTTGTATATGCTACTAACATCGTTTGTGCAAAATAGTTAGAATGGGAGAATCTTGACATTGTCAGGTAAAGTATGAGAGGTTACTGTAATTATTGAAATCATAGGGGAGATTTCCTGTATTTGTCAAAAATCTCAGGGGAGGTAAATGTAATTTACCCAAAAATAAATATAATCTTTTAATAAATGTTTTAGTTTAAGATATAGAAAGGAGCATATATAGGTGATTTTTTTTAAAAAATTTTGTAACTAAATAATATAAAATATAAAATTAATATTTTTAAATGGGCATGCCGATTTGAACTGGACTAAAATTTTTTATCCCAATCTTAATCTGAAAATTAAACAGAGTAGAATTTTTTGTCCAATCTAACCCAACTTTGTATTTTAGAGCATCTCTAATGTTTCATTAAATTTAAGTAAAAATTCGATGAAAAGTTTTATCTAATACAATACATTCCAATGTTTAATTTAAAATTTTCGTCAAACGTTTGATTGTTTGAGAAGGCGTCTGAACATGGGCAAAATTGGGTTTAGATAATGAAAACCCAGTTATTCGAGAGGACATTTGATAGGATGTTTGACCTAATAATCACTTTCAAATTTAATGAAGGATAAATACTTCTTCATTTGATGAAATATTTAATTTTTTTTGTCTATTTGATTGTAATTTAATGACAAAGTTGATATTAATATTTTTTTATCAAATTTAAATTTGATAAAACCTCTAGTTGAGCGATGGCGACCTCTACGTAAAAGTGGGTCGTACCCTCTCCATCGTTGAAGCAAGTAGATTACCAATCGATAATCTTATCTTTGAAGGAAATATATAATAATGCAAAATAAAAAGAAGGGTTTTGCTAATTTAATTAGGTTAAAAAAATAAAAAATAAAAAATAATAAAATAATAAAATTAAATATTATATCTAAATTATAATTATTTTATTTTATTTTTTTATAAAAATAAAAAACCAAACCAAATAAATTTTTTAATCTCAAATTAAAAAAAATCTCAGGGACTGAGCCATAAGCTGAAAGCACTTGTCTCTGGAATCTGAAGTAGCAAAGCAATAAGGCAAAAAAAAACAAAAAAAAAAAAAGGAAAAAGGAACCGCAGAAGAAGAGAAGAAAAAGAGAAGGAGATCTTAAGATTTATTTATATTGAAGGCGGAGTAGTTGATGTCAATCATCCATTTACCATTATCCTCCAATGTAAACTCTCTCTCTCTCTCTCTCTCTCTCTCTCTCTCTCTACTCCTTCCCACCATCACCACCACCTCTACTGGATCTGGTGTTTCTCTCTTCTCTCTCACACACAACCTTCACCACACCCCTGTTTTTGTTTATCATCTATCTCCCTGCATCATCTGTTTACAATTTCCTGATTACTTAGAAATGTTGTTTGCAATTAATCCTTTGTAATTTGTAGCTGCCAATTGCTCCGATCTGTATGTGTTTTTTTTTTTTTCTTTTCTTTTCTTTTCTTTTTCTTTCTTTCTAATAGCTAGAAAAATATTATGCTGAGATGTTTCTGAGTTTTTGATCTGAGATTCAGGCACCCTTTTTTAATTTAATTTAATTAATTTTTTTTTTTTTGGGTATTTGCTACTACAGTGTAATTGATGAAGAAACACTGGATGAGAGAGGGGCTCTGAATATATACAATACAAGTATATAGAGGGAAAGGGTTTATGGTTTCATGGGCAACACATGCCGTGGATCTTTTGGAGTGAAAACTTTTCAGGGCTACAGATACAGTCAGCCCCTAGACCAGTCCCTTTCCAAGCAGCACACCACCACCACCACCACCACTACTACTTCTTCTTCTTCTGTTGACTCACCCTCTGCCTTCAACTCTCAACAGCTCAACCCTCAACAACCCTCCAAGGATAACCCTAACAAAGACTCTAAAAACAACAACAGTAATCTTCCTCTTGTTGGTCCTGTAAAAGAAATCACCATGAGACGCGGCACCGATAACCAGAATTTTTATGTCTTGGGTCATAGGACTGCCAACATTCGCGATCTTTACACTTTGGGCCATAAATTAGGGCAAGGACAGTTCGGTACTACTTACTTGTGCACTGAGATTTCCACCGGCATTGAATACGCATCTAAATCTATCTCCAAGAGGAAGTTGATATCAAAAGAAGATCTGGAGGATGTGAGGAGGGAGATTCAGATTATGCATCATTTGGCGGGTCACAAGAATATTGTGACCATTAAGGGAGCGTACGAGGACTCCTTGTATGTTCATATCGTGATGGAGCTCTGTGGTGGGGGCGAATTGTTTGATCGCATCATTCACAGGGGACATTACAGTGAGAGGAAGGCTGCTGAATTGACAAAGATTATTGTAGGGGTTGTTGAATCATGCCATTCACTTGGGGTTATGCATAGAGATCTGAAGCCAGAGAATTTCTTGTTGGTTAACAAGGATGATGATTTCTCTCTCAAAGCCATCGACTTTGGACTTTCAGTTTTCTTCAAGCCAGGTAAATTTGGGGCAATTAATAAAAAAATCAAATATTCCACCTTTTTGTTCTTACACTCACCAAATGAACTGAAAGCATGCGAATGAACCGAATTACAAATTCTGTTGTTTATTTTCAATTTTTTAAATTAGTCCTTTTTGTTCGACCAATGTTTTGTTTCTATGAACACATGCCCCATTTTAATGGCCTACTTTAGGACTTGTTGAATTTATTTGTGAATGCCTAACAGCAGAGCCTGCACTTTTTAGTAAGACTGCGCTGCCTGTTCGGCTGCTCCTTTCAAGTCAAATCCACTGTCCCTAGATTGTGAAGAAAGGATGAAAAATCCAATTCTTGTGGTGTTTTTGTGTATAGTTTTCAGATATCATAGAATGTACAGCAAAACATGGATTCAGTTTATATATATATATATATTTTTTTTAAACTAGTGGTACTTGCTACTGCTTCAGGTCAGATTTTCACTGATGTGGTTGGAAGCCCATATTATGTTGCTCCAGAAGTGCTTTTGAAGCATTATGGACCAGAAGCAGACGTCTGGACAGCAGGTGTCATACTATATATACTGCTAAGTGGTGTACCACCTTTTTGGGCAGGTGTGCTTGCTTTGTTAAACTATATGTACAAATGTTCAACTTGTGTATGCATTGTGCTAAAAGTTTATTCTATTTGGCATTCAGAAACACAACAGGGGATATTTGATGCGGTTTTGAAGGGACACATTGACTTTGATTCAGATCCATGGCCCCTAATATCCGACAGTGCTAAGGATCTAATTCGAAAGATGTTATGCTCTCGACCTTCAGAACGGTTAACTGCTCATGAAGTATTGTGTATGTTACCTTCCTTCCTAATTTATCTTAGGTTGTTATTTTGGCCATCTCTATTTTGGAAGAATATGTGGAAGTTGGAATCATATGGTGATTGCCTCTCAGTATGGGGCATGAAATTCTGTTTGAAATACAAACCATGCATTGTGTAACCAATTTATGGTTATTGCATGCATGATGCTTGGAAATAGCATAATTGCGTGAAGGCCAGTGTATGCATTCCAAGGGAGCATAATATTTAGGGTGTTCCTGTAGGCTAATGAAAGCAAAAAGTATCGATAATACCTCTAAATTTATACTTAGATAACAGATTGTGGTGAAATTATGGGTGCGCTCTCAGGTGCAGGCAATGGGTTAGAATGACATTTGCACCCCAGGGATGTTGAATTAGATTTGCTTTTGCACTTTCCAATGGACCTTGTTATTTCCTGATCAGATTGAGTTATATTTCTTTCATCACAATCCTATAGGTCATCCTTGGATTGGTGAAAATGGAGTTGCTCCTGATAGAGCTTTGGATCCTGCTGTACTTTCTCGCCTCAAACAATTCTCTGCAATGAATAAGTTAAAGAAGATGGCTTTACGGGTATGTTCACTAATGACATAGTTATATAGTATGCATTTTGTGATATGTAGGATACTTTTACCATTTGAGGGGTGGAGGCCAGCATCAGCCCATGTGACTCTTTGTTAATGTGTCTCTGACACTAATTTGGATACTTAACAGAGTTCACCATTATTTCTTCAAAAATGGTGGACAAGTTTAACTTGCTTACAAATTTTTTACTCCATTTTTTGCTCATCTGGCTCTTACTTGTAAATGGTTAAACACATTATATACCTGTTTTCTAAAGTAAATTCATAAATACCAAGATATGTTTATATATTGGGTAGTTTTTATGTTCGTTCCAAATGTTTGTAAGCATGCATCATGTCTGTGTCCAAGGATGATTCTATGAGTCTTGCATAAAGGTGATCCAAAGTTGGTAGGAATACCAAACCACCATTATGCTTTACCCTCTGCATGGAACAATGCCGCACTCTCCATGCTTCTGAGTGATTTGGATGCTATGTTCTTCAACTTGTTCTTAATTTTTTACCTCATAAGAAGGGTTTACATTGCCATGACAGTCAAATGAACTTAATCACACATCTCGCAGCAGTATTTTGGCATCTATTTTTGCATGATGTTCCTAAATGGCAAGTAATAGGAGAGCCAAATGGTGGCTGACAGCAACAATTTTTATTGAATATTGTAAATTTACTCATGCACGTATTACACATATATGAATATTGGATTTCTTCTGTTTGGATTTTTCATTCACTCTTTATATGTTTCTATTCTTTGGAATTATAAAACCATAGAAGGAGCTCTTAAAGGCTTGATTCACTTAACAGGCTGTTTGCCCTATTTATGTAGAAAGCAATTTTTACTTGATTTTAACACTTGTAGCATTTTTCTTCATCTAAAAATTCCAACTTTGCATACTTTCTGCCACCAGGTGATAGCTGAAAGCCTGTCAGAGGAAGAAATTGCTGGTTTGAAAGAGATGTTTCAGGCAATGGATACTGATAATAGTGGTGCTATCACATTTGATGAACTCAAAGCTGGTTTGAGAAGATATGGCTCTACCTTAAAGGACACGGAGATACGTGACCTTATGGATGCGGTAAGACAATTGTTGCAAAGTTTGCTTGGTGTGTTCTTTTGTCGTAAGTTTTGAAGGGAATGTGTCTGACATTTCCTTCTTTCTTTTCTCTGTTTCACTTGTTTATCTCTCTCTCTCTCTCTCTCTCTCTCTCTCTCAATTTTGTCGGTCATTTTTATTTTTATTTTTATTTTTTATGATAAGGTTAAATTATGTGATTCGCTGCAATGAAGTGCATAAACCTTGAGCTAGACCCCTCCCCATTTCGGGAGATTGGAAATTGTATCATTTATTTTGTTTTCTTCAATAAAATTTATAGTTGTGACAATAATAAGTTTGATAATGTCAGGTAATGGGGCTTTGTTGTAGGTTTTGTAGGGCTTGTGTATATTATTTCCTTCTTTCTTTTCTCTTTTTCGTGAGTTTTCTGTCTCTTTATTATTTTATTGCTCAAATATTTTTGATGACAAGGTCAAGTTATGTGATTCGCTGGAATGAAGTGCACATAGCCTTCAGATAACCCTTCTCATTTTGGAAGATTGGAAACAGTGTCATTTTATTTAACTTTCTTCAATAAAATTTAAGGTTGGGACGGTAACAGGTGTGATGATGTAGATAAGACGATTAGAAAAGGTTGCATAAATGGAGATTGGAGAACTTACTGAGAAGTCTTAGATATTGTGGTAGGAATAATTGGTTGTTTCTTGATTTAGAATATTTTGATGTTACCAAAAAATCTAGTCAGCAATGTAGTCAATAATTTTATATGGATAGGGAAGATCTTCTGAGTTATGATGCATTTGTAAACCATGGGGAGCCTGTTTAGGTCACACCTGAATAAGATCCTGTCCATCTCCCTCCTGACGTGGTTTTCATCCTTTTAAAGCATTTTGCATTAGTCATGGATGAACTTACCAGAAACATTCAAGAGGATATTCCCTGGTGTATGTTGTATGCAGATGATATAGTTTTAGTTGACAAAACAAGCGCATTTAAGCCAAAATTATGAAGAGAATCTAAAGGTTTTAAGGTAAGTAGGAATAAAACAGAATAGATGAAATGAAGCTTCTGCAAAACTAGAAAGTTGATGGGATAACCAATGGTGACCATTTTTGATATTTTGGATCACTTAGATGGAGAGATTGAAGAGGATGTGCAACATAGAATTAGACTGAGATGGATGAGATGGATGAGATGGATGAAATGGAGGGAGTGCATTGGGAGTGTTGCGTGATCGTGGGATTCCTATTAAGTTGAAGATAAAATTTTATAAGAATGCTTTAAAACCTACTTTGATGTATGGTACCAAACCTTGAGTGGTTAAGAAAACAAATGTTCCTAAAATGAGTGAAATGGATAGATAGATAGATAGATAGAATAAGGAATGAATCAATTAGGAAGAAGTTAGAAAGTGACACCAATTGAAGATAAAATAAGGGAAGTTTGTTTGAGATGGTATGGTATGTGAATCGTAGACTGATTAATGAGGCCGTGAAGAGGACTGATTTGGTCCATGTGAAGGGTGGTAAAAGAAATAGAGCAAGTCAAATGAGAACATAGGATGAGTTGATAAGAAATGACATGATTATTTTATACTTAAACTTAGGATATGACTTCGAATAGAATCAATAGAGGAAATTGATCCATGTGTCCAATTTCTAGTAATTGGAATAAAGTCTTGTTGAGTTGAAAGCATTTTATAGACTAGGAATTAAAAATAAAGAGAAATTACTGTATTTTTTCTTATGTCATGGTAAAACCAACATGTTGATTATGCTCTATAATATAGACACCCCCCTTTTTCAAGGATCTTAGATTTGCCTTTCATATTTGTCTATAAATTGCCTTGAGGATTTTAGTTATGAGCGTGATTTTTGGCCTGTCACATTATCATGCTTGCTCTATATGTTAAACCCTTTTAAAATTTCTGAGTAGTCATTGTTGTTTCCAGGCTGATGTGGACAACAGTGGGACCATTGATTATGGGGAATTCATTGCTGCAACAGTTCACCTCAACAAACTAGAGCGTGAGGAACATCTCGTGGCAGCATTTCGATACTTTGACAAAGATGGAAGCGGTTATATTACAGTCGATGAGCTCCAGATGGCTTGTGCAGAACATAACATGACCGATGTTTTACTTGAAGATATTATTCGAGAAGGTGATCAAGATAATGTAAGTCCTCATACTTACGGATGGAATCACATAATTCCTGTAATATTGTCTAAAGATTTAGGCAACTATTGAGAAGCTGTTCTTTGATTACAGAATAGAGTCATCAATTATTCCCTTCATGTCTGATCAAACTAAACTGATTGACCCAAACAATGTCTAGGATGCTTGGACTCACTCTTAACATCTCTCAATGGCGCATTGTATGTTTCAAGCGTGTATAACTCTGATATGGATTGCTTGCAAACAACTTGATATCTTCTTATATTGCACAAAGTTAAATGATTGTGTAACCATTAAACACATAGTTGCATGGGATGGGGGAATTGTTTCTCTCCTTAGTTGAACTAATAGATTCTGATGGATGTGTTCTTTCAGGATGGTAGGATTGATTATCAGGAATTTGTTGCTATGATGCAAAAAGGCAATGCAGGAATTGGAAGACGAACTATGCGAAACAGTGTGAATTTGAGCATGAGAGATGCACCAGGAGCTCATTAGCTTCTAAATTGAGACAATGTACAGGTAATTTTCAACTTTATGCATTTCAACCACCCCATTCCCCATAATTTTTTTTATTTTTTGTAGGCGTGACTGATTATGAAAAATAGGGACTTCTCATATTATAGAACTGTGTTAGAATACAAAGTTGCATACTTGATACTAATTAAAAAAAATAAAAAAAAAATACATTGCATACTTGATGGAAGGTAAAATGTTTAATCTCTAACTTATGATACGATTTAATGAACTAAATCAACCATGCATTAATACCAACTTTGACACAACAAATTTAATGATTTTGTTTGGTTAATTACTCAGCTTGTCAGACGAGTACTAGTTTAAGTTTGGAGAAAATGTTTAATCTCTAGCTTACGATACCATTTAATGAACTAAATCAACCACGCATTAATACCAACTTTGACACAACAAATTTAATGATTTTTTATTTTTTGTAGGCGTGACTGATTATGAAAAATAGTGACTTCTCAGATTATAGAACTGTGTTAGAATACGAAGTTGCATACTTGATACTAATTAAAAAAAAAAAAATACATTGCATACTTGATGGAAGGTAAAATGTTTAATCTCTAACTTACGATACCATTTAATGAAGTAAGTCAACCATGCATTAATACCAACTTTGACACAACAAATTTAATGATTTTGTTTGGTTAATTACTCAGCTTGTCAGACGAGTACTAGTTTAAGTTTGGTAATGCATTGTGTTGAGATGAGTCCGGATTTGCTAAAGTTTATTATCTCAACTTCATGGTGAAGTTGACCCATTATAGGGCTAATTTGGACCCACTTCGGTGATCTAAATAGTTTATTCATGCAAAAAATTAAGTTGATCCAACATCGATTGGCATACCATTATTTGTTATAATATATATGTGATTTGATCATATGATTACTTACGTCTGATCAACCTAATTTTTTGCATGTACGCTATTCTCAGTTTGTCATATGAGATAAACGGTTTAGATCACTGAGACGGGTACAAATTGGTCCCACAATGTGCCAACTTCACATATGAAGTTGAGATCTTCAACTTTAGCAAATCCAAACTTGTGTTGAGATTGTCTTGCATCATGAAGGATTGCGGTGAGAATGTTACCGATGCAATACGGATAAATGATGCAATCCTTTTGTTTGTAGAATGTTACCTTAGTTCGAACAATTTTGTTGCCTTTTTTTTCCGAATCAGCCTTGCCTTTTTATTTTGGTTGAGAGGTCCTATAAAGGTGTAATTCAACATACAGTAGATAAGTTCTCTCAGTTTGTTCCATGACGCTTTTGTGACCATTCAACAAGTTGATGGATAATTAGTAGGTCTATGAAGGTGTAATTCAACATACAGTGGATAAGTTCTCTCAGTTTGTTCCATCACTCTTTTGTGACCATTCGACAAGTTGATGGATAATTAGCAGGTGTCTTTTAGCATTTGAAAGTGAGCTTGGACAAATTGCTGTGAAATTACTTCTTCCGCATTTTGTTGTAGAGCATTATTGGCGGGCATACGCATCAAAATATGAATGGCTCTGTACTTTGTTGTTTTGGTTCCTTCAATTTTATGATGCTTATTCTATATTCAGGATCCTTTACAATGCATTTGATGCTATTAGGAATTGTTACTTCACAATTTATACTTTGATTGAAAATGAAGAATTTTGTTGGAAAATCCAATTAATTCTGAAATAATATTTGTAAGTTTTGCTGTAAGTGTTGTTTTCCTTTTTTCTCTTTGCTTTTACATTTTTATATTTTATTTATTATTTACCCGTATTTTGATTTGAGGAGAGGGAGGGGCTGGAGGTTCAGAGTGTTAGAAAGCATCCTATTGGCCCCGGGGGAAAAATGTAAAATTATGATGATTTATGGATATTAGTTAGAATAAATAATTGGAAGAAACTTTCTTTCCGTGTCATTGAGCTGTACTAAAGAACTAAAAACGTTCATCCATTTTTGAAAGTTGAAGCTTCAAAGATCAGGGTCTGTTTGGATGGATGTAGATTTCATATCAAGGGATTTAACCTTAATCATTTGAGGACAATAATTCAAATTTTGGTATGATAATTTACTCATGAATTTCAAGATTGAATTAAATAGCTTTATCATGATGGATGTGAAATCACCACATAAAAGTAATTTGAAATCATGCCAAGCATACTCTTTCTAGCTATTACAAAGGATCCTACTAATATATATATATATATATAATCTATCTGAACTTATCTTCTTTGATTGTTTTTCTATTCAATTAAACTCCAATCCATTGATTTGGAATCCACATCTTTCCAAACTTACCCCAACATTGTGGCATTTTTTTGCCTATGTTTTTAGCAACTAATCAAATTTTAGAGGGAAATTTTGCATCAGTAAATTGTGTTGTCATTTGGGAAGGCCATCTTCACCCGTCAAATGATTTTTGTTGTTGAGCTATGTGATTGACTTGTGATTTCATATTCTTACATATCTGCAGGTTGTACAGCAAAGCAAGGAGAGGAGGTTCAGTGGTAAAGCTTCTTCAGAGAATTTCTGGATGCTCCCTTGATCTGATACATTTGTTACCCAACTATTTGAAATTTGGGGTTTAAACGGTTGAGCATTCGTCCGTCTTCCTTTTAAATTGTTGTATGACTGGAAATGTTGTGATTTGTGAGCATTGTAAACTAATACAGCTATTTAAGCTGCCAAATTATTTTGTGCCTTTCTTTCTCTTGGGCTCTGCGTTTTCGGTTGTGCATTTGCTACTCAGGATCGAAGTGTTGTTAAAATGTTGACTTTTTTTAGTTTGTATGGATTAGTCAATTGAGAGCACTTTGATGATTGAAAATAGCTGCGCTTGTTTTTTTTCTAGGAATGAAAGTTGTGAGACTGCATGTGGAAGTTTATTTACCAAAGTCATTGGGAACATGAAATTAACCCCCCAAAAAATAAAAAGAATTAAAGATAAAGAAGCCCAGTTGCATTGATCATTGTGGTATATTTAATTCCTTGCATGGTGATGCTGTTTGATATGATTCAGCAGTTTTTCAGCCATCTAATGAATCAACCATATCCCTCAAAAAAAAAAAAAAAAAAAAAAAAAAAAAAAAAAAAAAAAAAAAAAAAAAAAAAACAGAAGAATCAACAATACATGTTATCATTAACAAGTATTCCCATCAAATGGGCAGTAAATATAAAACCAAAACATCTACTGAGACAATGTGGAAATGAGGATGTGAGATGGTTCGGATTTCAAGGTTTGGACAAACATATAAAGATACACCCTTTAAAACAAACAACGAAAAAACAACCAAAAATACATGTTTGCATTGGAACTGCAATAAGTGAAGTAAACAAATACCTGCAGGCATTTGAGAAGATAGAATGCATATTCCTGGCAGCAAATTTGTGTAGAAGGTGCTCTTCCATACCAACATCACATTTTGTTGGGAACAACAAAGCTGTAGCCTAATCTAACATGTGTAATATGTTGTACATAGTTACTCAAACCATGATATTACGTTTTTTGTATCACAACTATTTTCTTGTAGTTGAATCAGAATTAAATTGTTGTTGGCATGCCAGGGTAACGGTTCTATTTCCTTTCTATACTTGTAAGCAAATGCTTTATGCTGGTGGGAATGGCGATCAATCCGCATAAATAAGATGTCCAAATCCTGCTGATTCACGTGCTACTGTGCCATACCTGCAGTTTCGCGTGCTACTGCAATTTCCTGCAAAAGAAACAATACCCGATGTTAAAACTAGCACATCCTGATGTATAATGGTCTGTGCACAATGAATTACTAAGCACCCATAAATGAAAAATATTGTTAAATGGCATGACATAAGAGGGATTGCTTCGGCTATTCTGCATATTAGCTTGGAACACTGATATCACAGGCCAAATATATATATATATATATATGTTACTAAAATTTCCAAATTAAAGGGGGTGTGCATATCCATTTGCTTGAGGTAAGCAACCAAACATTCTTATGTACCTATTTTAAAATTTTCAGAATTCTGGAAGAATGTGACCATGTACCTATATCATATTTATTACAGAAGTATGTTGAGTTTGTGAGAATATATTGTGTATTTTCTATTATTTTCCAAATTAGGCACGATTGTGGTTGTACAAATTAGAGTCTTATTAGAGGTATGGTTGTGTTAGAGTCCTATTAAAGGCATCATTGTATTATCCCTTTTGGTTTAGAATTTACGGCTATATGATTTAAGGTCTGATTGTAATCATTCACACATATTGTCTACTTGCGTATGTTGCATCTGCTCCGACTCCTGATCTTGACTTGGCTTCCTTGACTGCTCAGATTAGTTAACTTCAGCATATATTGGCTACCTCCCAGCCATCTCCATCTGCTTCCGTTGTTTCATCTCTTCATTCAGGTTTGCTTGGGTCTTCTTCAGGTATCTCTTCGTCTGTCTGGCTTTTTGACTCTGGTGCCTCTTATCACATGACTCCCCATCTCTCCTTACTTCACAATTGTACTCCTCCTCCCTTTCCTATTATTGTCAATGTGGGTAATGGATCTAGTATGTCTGTTGTGTCTGTTGTATCTGTTGGGTCTATCCTACCGTCTGCTATGTCTATTGTCTCTATTCCATCTGTCATTTATGTTCCTCAGTTATCTGTCAGTTTATTATCTATCAGTCAGCTTGATGCCGCTGGTTTTGCTGTTATCTTTTCTTCTGCTATCTGTTCTGTACAGGATCGAATGTCTAAGCAGCAGATTGGGATCGGTCGTAGAATTGGAGACCTCTATGTGGTGGATAGCTTGCATCTGCCTATAGCAACCTCTTTGACTACCTTTTCCTCTTTTCAGTTAGATTCTCTGTCTAGTCCTTTCTACTTATGGCATTCTCGATTAGGGCATTTGTTTGCTGACCGCTTATGGTCTTTAGCTCAGTCAGGTATTTTGAGTAAAGTTTCTCCTAGTGAACTTATTGAATGTCGGGGGTGTAAACTTGCCAAAATGACAACTTTACCTTTTTGTAAAAGTACTTCTATATCTGATACACCGTTTTCTTTAGTTCATACTGATGTTTGGGGCCCTTCTCCTGTTCTCATCAAAAGGGGTTCTGCATACTATGTGTCATTTGTTGATGACTGCACCCGTTACACTTGGATTTATCTTATGACTCATAAATCCAATTTCTATCAGATATACCGTACCTTTCAGTCTATGATTACTACTCAGCTTGGGTCTACAATTAAAGTGTTACAGTCTGACTTGGGTGGGGAATATTTTAAAAATGAGTTATGTGAGTATTTGGCTAATTTGGGTATCATTCACCAAACTTCCTGTACAGATACACCTGCCCAAAATGGTCGAGCTGAGCGTAAACACCGTCATTTTCTTGAGACCGCTAGGTCTCTTCTTTTCTCTGCCTCAGTTCCGGCTCTATTCTGGGGGAAAGCAGTTCTTACTGTTGCTTTTCTTCTCAACCGCATGCCTACTCCCCTTCTTTCTGGTCGGTCTCCTTATAAGGCTTTGTTCTCCCAAATTCTTAACTATTCCCTCTTTCGTGTGTTTGGGTCTGCCTGTTTTGTTCTTCTTTCCCGCAAAGATAGGACCAAACTTAGTGTTCGGTCGGTCCTCTGTGTCTTTTTGGGTTATAGTCCTACTCAGAAAGGTTATCGATGTTACGACCCTGTTTCCCGTCGTCTTTATGTCTCTCGTCATGTTTCTTTTCTCGAACGTCTGCCTTACTTTCAACTTCCTCCTGTCACTGCTCCAGTTTCCAAAGAGGATTTCGTTCACATTGACCCATTTCCTTCTGAGGTACTGTCTGATGAGTACATCTCCACAGTTCCTCTTGAGCTTGTTTCATCTTCTCCTCTTGCTTCACCTCTGGCTGTTTCTCTTTCTTCAGTTTCTTCTCCTCCTCCGTTGTTAGTTTATTCTCGTCGTAAGGCTCCTCCTCTACCAGTTGTCTCCACCCCTACTGCTGATCCTCCTGCTTCTGACGATTTTGATCCTACTGCACATCGATATCCTCCTCGAGCACGTTATCCTCCAAACAGGTTGGGTTGATCTAATACTTGTTTTTCTGCTTCCTATCGTACTTTTTTGTCTGTTATTCACTCTTTTGTAGAACCTCAGTCTTACAAGGAGGCCTGTCAAGATCCTCACAGGCCTCCTTGGGTTCAAACTATGGAAGATGAGTTGTCTGCTTTACAAAAAACTAGTACTTGGGAGTTGGTTCCTTTACCTGCTGGTAAGAACCTGGTTGGTTGCAAATGGGTTTACAAAGTCAAGACTCATTCTGACTCTCTTGAGCGTTACAAAGCTCGTTTGGTTGCCAAAGGTTTCTCTCAGGAGTATGGTATTGATTATGAGGAGACATTTGCTCCTGTTGCTAAAATGACTACTGTCCGTACTTTGATCTATGTCGCTGCTGTTCGTTCTTGGCCTCTTTATCAGATGGATGTTAAGAATGCTTTTCTTAATGGCCATCTCACTGAGGAGGTTTACATGCGTCCTCCCCCTGGCCTTAACCATCCCTCTGGACAGGTTTGTCGTCTTCGGCGTGCTCTGTATGGTCTGAAACAGTTTCCTCGTACTTGGTATGATCGATTTCAGATTGCTGTTACCGAGCTTGGGTTTCATCCTTCTGCTTCTGACTCTGCTTTATTTCTGCGACATACCTCAATTGGTTTTGTTGCTCTCTTGCTCTATGTGGATGATATGATCATCACTGGCTCGGACTCTTTTGCTATCTCTGAGGTCAAGCAGCATCTTTTCCGCACCTTCGAAATGAAGGATCTGGGTCCATTACGGTATTTTCTTGGTATTGAGGTTGCTTCTTCTCCCAAGGGCTATTTTCTGTCTCAGGCTAAGTATGCTAATGAAGTCATTCATCGTGCTGGTCTTACTGATACTAAGGTTTCTGATACACCTATTGAGCTTAATGTGAAGCTTAACTCTACTGATAGTGTCCCTCTGGATGATCCCACTTTATATCGCGAGCTTGTGGGTTGTTTAGTTTATCTGACTGTCACTCGTCCTAACCTTGCTTATGTTGTTCATGTGGTTAGTCAGTTTATTTTTGCTCCTCGCTCTACCCATTGGGCTGCTTTGGTTCGCGTTCTTCGCTATCTCAGGGGTACTATCTTTCAGGGCTTATTGTTGTCCTCTACTTCCTCTTTGGACTTGGTGGCCTATGCTGACTCTGATTGGGCTGGTGATGTTACTAATCGTAAGTCTACGTTTGGTTTCTGTATGTTTCTTGGAGATTCCTTAATCTCTTGGAAAAGCAAGAAACAATCAATCGTTGCTCGCTCTACTGCCGAAGCTGAGTATCGTGCTATGGCTCATGCCACTGCTGAGATTGTTTGGCTTCGTTGTCTCTTGTTTGATTTGGGTGTCTCTCAATCTTCTCCGACCTCTCTCTATTGTGACAATCGCAGTGCTGTTCAGATTGCTCACAATACTGTCTTTCATGAGCGAACGAAACATATTGAGATTGATTGTCACTTTGTTCGCCAACATCTGCAGTCTGCCTCTATCTCGCTTCCTTTCATCCCTTGGGCTTTGCAACTTGTGGACTTCTTCACCAAGACTCACACTACCGCTCGGTTTCAGTTTCTTCTTAGCAAACTCTCAGTATTTTCTGCTAAAACACCTTGAGTTTGAGCGGGGGTGTAAGAATATATTGTGTATTTTCTATTATTTTCCAAATTAGGCATGATTATGGTTGTACAAATTAGAGTCCTATTAGAGGTATGGTTGTGTTAGAGTCCTATTAGAGGCAAAATTGTATTCTCCCTTTTGGTTTAGGATTTAGGGCTATATAATCTAAGGTCTGATTGTAATCATTCACACATTGAATATACAAGATACAGAAGAGCTTTCAAGAATCTTACAGAGTTACCCATCAAATCAAGTTCAATCCCACTGCTACAATCCAAACTTTTTAAAGAAAATATGATGTAATTCCCTCTATAACTAAAACCATGCTCAAATTAGAACCCTTAACATGTTTAATTTTTGTTGCACAGTTGGGGCTCACAAATGGGTTAAAGGATAATCCAACTCCAACCATATTTTCAATCACCGACCACAAGTTCCTCCTAATTTCAAACCTTCCCAAGATCGCTCACTATACCCTATTGAGATATATGAATTTTTAAGCATAAGCAAAAATTTCAACGGTAGGGTCCTGGAACACCGGGTAACTAACCAGGTCAGATGACCAAGCCATCTATTGTGCTTAAATGTTTTTGTACAGCTAGAACAAAATGAAGACACTCCAAAAAAAAAGTCTAGAATCGGTCATTTGTGCAAACCCGTTAAATGGCCCCAAAAAAAGAATGGAAACCAATGAGAATATTGCCGTATATGCGGCTACTGATAGAGCAGTCAAACTTCTTTAGGATTAACTTATGATTCACCTCAGAATTTGGAGCCAGTAACACACTTGACTAGGAACAACATTAAAACAGAAGAAATTAAAAATGTGGGAGTGTGTATTTGTATTACTTGCCTTTAACCCTGCATCAGGTGAAAAGATGCATTTTGATGTGATAACTTGCCCCTGATCTAATAGCCATCCCACCTCACAGCAAGTTTGTCCATCTTCTCTTTCCTTCAGTGAACTCCACAACTGCTTTGGAAGCAATACCAGATTTTGGTCATCTCTCACTGACTTTTGCACACTGTCATCTAAAAGTTCTTGCAGCACATTCTGAAACAATTGAAATTTGAAAACAATTAACGAATCAGACTATGGAGTTATGTTTATATGCATCAAATTCATGAGCATCAATTGCATGGATGAAAATTTATATTTTAACATGAGAATTTTAGGCTATACAAGATACAACTCAAATCCTAGTGAAGAAAGAATAATTAAGAAGTTATAAAAACAACATTTAAAAGCTTTTAACTTTCCCACATACCACCAGCTTTGAGAACTTTAATTTTAGTGTAAATGAACAACTACGAACACTCTCTATTGAATCATTTGGCATATAAATTTATTTTATTTTATTTTTCTCCAGTTATCTTACGTAAGTGGAGAGCCTAAAAGAGAAAGGGACTATATCAAGGACCAGTTATCCGTCATGTATTGCAATGTTTAAGTGGATCACCTGTATACTTGGCCAAATCACTTATTTGCTGGCTAACCCAAAGTGACGAGTTACTTGATGACACGTATTAGTAGGAAAAGTCATGCAAATGAAGGCATGATCAGCTGAACTAGTAGTTTTGTCAAATGAACAACACCAACTATAAGAAATTCAATAGAGCAAAACTATAAGGATAATTTATAACCAAAAAGCAGATGAAGGATCACATACTAATTCATGTCTGATAACAATATCACAAGACATAAATTTCATAACTCACGGTCTGAGAATTTTGGAAGCAGGCAACAGCATGAAGGCCCTGCCAAACACCAGTAACTTCTGAACTTTTCAAGGCATCCGTGGAAGCAAATGCAGAATCACGGATGGCACATCCACCTAGCTGCTCCCCGTTTCTGAATGGCCCGTACCACTGCTCACAAAAGACCTTGATGTTCTGTAACATGAACTTGCTCTTTTCAACACGGACAACCTGAATAATCCGCACACGTGACTCCCGATTTCGAGGATCAATCAAGCAATGCTCTAACTCTAATAATCTGTATGTGGCATGGTCCTCCATCAGCCAAACTGCTGCATAACATCCACTGGATTGATATGCAAAGGCAAAGGCAGAGTCATCTGTACCTCCTATATTCCTCTCATCAATGCTGTACTGTGTTGCAGCATCAGCTTCACATCCAACAGTGGGAAGTAGCTTTATTGATTTGTAGAAAAAAATGGAATCTTCTGGCTTTGCAAGGGTGGGGCACTGAGTCTGCCAATCAAACACCTTGACCTCCCACTCTCTGTAAGCTTCGGGGACAACTGATTCTGGAAGTTCAATTGGATTCCCTCGGCTGGAAAAATCAGCTCCATATCCATCCCATTCTCCTGACACATTTGTCGCAAATTCCAGCCACTCTTCTTGACCAGATAAAATGGAGAAGAACAAAAATGAAGATAATTAGAACAACCCCCCCCAAAAAAAAGAAAAAAGAAAGCAAATTCTAGGGAAAGCATAGTGATGACATCAAACTTGATTCAGATGATGCATCCAGCCACTGCAAGGCCTATGTACAGAGGTCAGCTTAGTTCCTAAGAATTGATTGAGAGTGTTGAATAGTGAATTTGGGTGTTGGAATTAATGGATATATGTTAATGTTAGTTTACATGTATTGGAATAATACATATAGAATATTGTGGGTTTTTGGGGATAGGCCATGTCTAAGTTAATTTGGTTTCTGTTTATCCACAAATCAAAGACTAGTACTAGTACTAGTACTAGTAGAGGCAAAGGGCAGACCATAGAGAAGGGTATTATTATTACATGGATCAATTTGAAAAGCAAGATTGGGTGCAGGAAATGTAGAAGCAAATTTGATTTACTATACTAGTAAATAAGAAGAAACCCAGAAAATATACAGACATATATATATATAATGTTCTAAACTTCCATATATGAGAATGCCAACAAACTGAGAATAAGATAATAAAGTAAATTCCAGTGAAATGAATCATGTGTGTGTTCTTCATAAATATAAAAGGTGGAAGCCAGCCCTGAAAAAACAAAAGCACTTACTGGAGGATACGGTGGTTGTGGCGGTGGCGGTGGTGGTGGTGGTGGTGGTGGTGTTGTCCCCATCAATTTCAATGACATCTGATGCTGATGCTGATGCTGATGCTGATGCTGAGGAAGTTATGGCAGAGACGGTGGGGATTATTCGATGATTATGTATGGAACTTAAATTGGTATTGGGATTAGGATTGTGATAGTGATAAACAAGTTTGAATTTATGGGAATGGATGGGGGGTTTTCTTTGGAACAAAGAGGGAAAACCCAGAGGAGGATGAATTAGGATTCTGTTGTTGGGGACGACGACTATCCTATTCTTAATATTATTATTATCATTATTATTATTATTATTATTAGTATTGATTGGATACAACATTAGCGCCATATTGAAATTGGTCTTTTAAACAGAATTCCACCAAGAAGAATAAAATAAATAGAGATGGAGGGAGAACAGAGAGGACTCGGTTTTACTACTCTCTCTGACTCACCAATCCAATGATTGGAATAATCCCCCCCATAGCATAGCCATAGGATATCTATTTCCTGGGGAGCGCTGGCCTCACAAATGCCAACCACTCTCACTCTCACTCTCACCTCATCTCTCATTCATGGCCCCCCCCATTACTTTGGAACAGGGTCCCTGCTGTGCTTTTCGTTTGAGGTGTATTATGGTGTTATTTTTATGATCTAAACCGTTTATATTATAGGGTTTGTTGAGTACTTCATGCCTACTAAAAATCATATTAATCGGATATCAATAACTATATGATCGAATTGCATATTGTTTATACTATTTTTCAAAAGAAAAACTTATTATTTATTTTTTTTGGTTATCGATCATCTAGTTGTTAATATCCGATTAATATGATTTTTGATAGGTATGAAGTACTCAACAAACCCTACAAAACAACAATTTGGATCATAAAAATAAGATCATAATACACCTTAAACGGACGTACCACAATCACTACTGTGCTTTGAGCACAGCCGTGAGCCTTTTTCCACTTCCACTTCTCGACTAGTTTCCTCCTTACTTCACATAATAATAATAATAAAAAATAAATAAATAAAAATATTTAAGTCTAAATTATTTATAAGTTTTCGAAATAACTTATACCGTCTTATAAAAAATTTATAACTCAATACGTCTATAATTTTCTTGTGGACACAATTACCTTTAATTTTAATTAATTAATAATCTTATTAATGATAATACCATATGTGAAAAATCTAATGTTATCATAAATTATTATGATCATATTAATATGATTAGAAATTTAAAATTCAAAATAACTTAATTAATAGTAATACCATATATCGAAAATCTAATGTTATCATAGATTGTAATCATATTTATATGGTTAGAAATTCGAAATTCAAAATAACCTAATTAATGCCAATATTATATATGGGAAATCTAATATTAGCATAAATTGTAATCATGTCTATATGGTTCGAAATTTAAAATTCAAAACGTAAATATAACATAATATCTCAAACCCAATGTGACATTGTCAAACTCAACGTGACATTCTCATATGCTTATGAAATTCAAAATTACTTGATTCATGACAATACTATATATGAGAAATCTAATGTTTCCATAGATTGTGATCATATCTATATGGTTGAAAATTTGAAATTCAAAACATAAATGTAGCATAAAACATCACAAACCCAACGTGACATTCTCAAATCTAACATGACATTCACATATGCTTCTCATCCCAAACCCAACATAAATGTAACATGTAACATCACAAACCCACCGTAACATTCCCATATGATTCTCATCTCAAACCCAACGTGATATTACAATGCTTCATCGTTGAATTATGAATAATGTAACCTCCTAAATGTAACATGTAACATCTTAACCCAACTCATGTATTGAACCACCATCACCCCCAACCCAGCATAACTTCAATATCGAACAATGGGATTCAATCTATACAAACCCAAATCCCCAATAAACATTGATTACAATAAAGACACGATGCACATTCAAACACATATACAACCAAACAAACACACAAATGTCATCTACTACATGGTGTATGTAGATTAACATTACACACAAAATGTAACATGCCTCGTAACACGATCATCCAGGTCCTAATGCGCAATTGCCATCCTATGACATGGTTCACATTCGACATCCAATTAACAATCAAAACTAAATACCTTTAAACCTATATACACCACCCCACACGTCGATCATATCAAAACACATCAACCATCACAATGCCAAATACACACATTCAATTAGAAATTGGCCAAAGTGTGCCTATCAATGAGTATAATAGATTGTCAATGCCTTGTTAAATATGAACAATCCACACTTTAACAAATAGCAACACACTTTAACCACAAATATATATATATATATATATACCTCTTCCCCTCAACCGATGGAGCCGAAATCTGGCGAAGAAATCAACACATAACCCTCAAACTTCATCATATCATCGACCATATCCACATCCATTTAAGCAACATTTTGAAAATGTACTGGAATCCCACGATCAAGGCGAAAAAAACTCGCACGGTCGTTGCCTATAGACTTATCTTTCCTACAAATCTTCCCAAACGTGATATGATGAATGAGAAAATAAAATACAATATGAAAACAAATTAGAGATATAAAAGTACACTAATATCATTCATTTACAACTCATAAGACCTTATGGAACACATTCATATTTAAATAGAATTTCAAACTCTAAAGGAATATTCATAAGACTTCACATTAAATAAGTTTTTCAAATAGAACTTATAAAGAATTTTTCCAATATTCAATGCACCAATAATAAAAAAATAAAAATAAAAAGCATAAATATAAATGAGTGCTGCTATTAACACCCCATCAATAATTTTGGACCCCCTATTTTTTTAGACCCCCACTTATAAATTTTAAAACTTTTAAAATTTCTTTTCTCTTCTCAAATAATACCAACTTATCCTTGTGAAAACATTTATCCATTCAATTAAATGCACACTCTCGCATCCCAAAAAATCTCTCTTCCAAAAATCGTAACAAAACCCGCGAAGGTGATTACTATTTCATCTCACATACTTATTCATGACCTTTCAGTGAGAAAATAAATATAGGGTTTTTAATCTTCAATCCTTAGAATATATCATTAAGAAATTGGGTTGAGATTTTTGTACTTGAAAAAGAAGAAGAAGAGCCAAGTGTGATTACTGTCAATTGCCTTGACAAGACTGGATTGGGTTGTGATTTATGTCACCTCATTCTTTTCTTCGGTTTGACTTTTGTCCGAGTTAGTTATCTGTTCTCGAACAAATAATAAATGTTCGGTTACTTGTTCCCGAACAAATAAACAATGTTCGGGGTCTGTGTTTCCGAATTTTGATCATATCTTCGGGAGTTTAGTCTGGAAAAAATTACGAACCATTTTTGTTATTTTTGCTATTTTTTTTTCAAGAAACTTACCCTTACAATGTAAATCTTCTCTAAGTTAAGAATACCATCAAAATTATGAACATCCTCTAAGCTTTTATTGTTGTACTCCCCTCGGCTCATGGAGTTGTGGTTGTCGGAAAAACTTCCACTCATTATTATTGCTGGAGAAGTGTAAATAATCAAATGGTTGTTGTAACGCCCCAACTTCCAGGCCGTTAATAAATCAGATCGACCCCAAATTTAAAATTCTAACTAATTAATAACCTCAAAAATACAAGTTGACTCCAAAATAATTACACAAATGTATATAATTTATAATTTATACAAATCTACAAAAAATAATATATAGTGATGGGCCCAAAAATCTCCAACTCAATAATCTTTTAAATGCTTCAACTCCAATCGCCACTAGATTTGCTTTATACTTGAAAAATAAATTAATTCAAGAAGTATACAATATGACAGGAAAAACAATGCTCGGATAGAGAATAAATCAACAGGGATCCAACAATTTACGACATGGCACAAACAATTCGATTTGAGATACCAAACAATTTACCAAATTGCACAGATAAGTCAACTCGACATATGATAATTTATCCAGGACTAAATACTTGGTCCTACTCAGTACATGACTAGTGACCGACCTCAACCACCTCACCCAAGCACAACTGCTTATCTGGGCTATTGGCAAGATCCACTCAATCCATGTATAGAGTATTTTGACGTCATTTAGCCAAACAAATCAATACTAACTACACAGAACAACTTCACAGAATTTATCAAATGACTAGAATAATCAAACGTATAAACAAAAATGATTCCACAGAATTTAACATATGACCATAATAATCAAGAGGAGTATAAACGTGAAGTAATTAAGATAAAAACTCTTTGCAAAGAGAATTGGAGGAAACATATTGTATATTACCCGGATTACCTCAAAACAATTCCATGATCACCTGATGCAAAGTCCCACAAACACCAATGCTGTAATCATCTGCTATATTACCATAAATCTCAAAAGGTTGTGGATTTTAAAGGTATGTAAAGTTTAACAAAATCTACAATTCTCCTCTTAAATAAAATGCTAACTCTCACTCTAAAAGTTGGCTCATAAAGAAAGAGAGATGGACCAAGAAGAAAAACCATAGAAGTAAGTTGAGAGAATGAGTTCAAATTTATAGGCAAAATAAAGAGTCGTCTCCAAGTAAACTTGGAGGAAAAGAAAGATAATTGTCTTGGAGACAAAGAAAGGTTGCTTGGAGGGAAAGAAAAGAACCTTTGCTTGAAACCCAAGCAAACTAAAAAAAAAATTATATAATAAGGTAAGAGACTTTTTGAAAATGTCTTAAATGTATGAGAGATACATTTTGAATTAAGGGTTGAGATCATACTTGGCAAGTATTTAAGGGTCAATATAATTTCTTTGTTTTTGCTTTTCCCCCCAAAATGTGTCTTTTCACTTCCTCTATTTCCCTTTCCCATGTTAAGAGATAGATTCATATCTCTCTCTGGTTTTAACTCCAGCAACTCTAGCAACTCTCAATTTTCCAGCAACTCTCCATTTTCCTCACTGGTTTTAGCTTAAATTTCTCTCTCGATTTCGGTTCTGCAATCTCCAACAACTCTTCACAGGTGACATTCCTATTCTCCTTTGCCCTTTCACTCTTCTAACCTATGAAATGGGTTGCAAATATGATGGGTTTTGATATCATTGAAATGGGTTTCTATTTCTATATGTATTTCAAAAAATGTGATGGGTTGAAAATTTGATGGATTTCATAAAATAAATTTGAAATGAGTTGCAAATATGATGGGTTTATATTATGGGTTTTAATGGGTTGTTATTGATCTAACAAGGACTGTTTCGGCTGGAAAAGTTGAGATTGGGGCATTCAGAACACACCCAGAAGGATATAAACCTCCAGATGAGCCTGTTTCTGAGTATCAAACCATCCCTTTAAACAAGATTGAAGACTTTGGTGTACATTGCAAACAGGTTAATTTGTTTTCCATCAACTCCTTTCTGGAAATGATGGTTTAAAGCTGGATAACTTAAGCTGGCTGTTTTTTGCAGTATTATTCATTGGACATCACGTATTT